CGACTGTTCCTTTCACTGGTTCCCCTTTGTCTGATCCCTATCTAAATCTATTAGAATTCATATTCATATTCCGCACACACACACACACACACACATTGCCCAATCCCACACGTCTCTGTACCATGACATAGTCAGAAAGTGAAATCAAGTGTTAAAGAGTTTTGAGAAAGAAGTCAGGAAATATTTTCCCCTAACAATGTCGCATTTCTTTTGCAAGCATTTTCTTGCCCCATTTAAAATGGATAAGCATAGGGTATAATAGATTCGAGCATGAGTATGTCATAAGCAGATTAATGTTACTGTAAATATATAAGTTTACAAGTATTTATATATAATATAGCATGTAGATTCTCTGACAATTAATTAAAAGAATAAACATTCAAAAGTATAGCCGCTGCCTAGAAGAGAATATAAGTTTATGTTAGGACAGTTCGGGTACAGGGTGTATTCCAGTCGGGCAATCTTAACTGGAGCACACTTGCTATTTTTTGTAGCCCTTTTACGAGCATTTCCGTTTGCTGCTTAGCCTAATATCGAAATAAACATACTTTATCCGTTATTGCCGTCAAATTTATGGTTTCTTAAATGCTGCCCCTGCAAACCCCCCCTCCCTTTCAAGGGAAATATGAGACGCACATGTTACGCATTATGCAAGCCAAATTGGATGGATTTTGAAAAGGGTCGCAACTATGTGGCCAGTTCCTTAGATGTGGCCAACAATCTTCTATTTAAAAAAAAAAAAAAAACTTCGACAGCTGCCCAAGTTTATTAGAAGATGACAGTGAAACGATAAGAAACTTTTGACAATTCAAACTGGAATCAATGCATATGTTGTTGAAAGAAAAATTAGTTTTGATGGTTTTTTTTTATTTTATTTTGGTTCATTTATTGAGGCTTCAAACGTAATGCCTCGAAAGTGCATTCACAATCGCAATTAAAACCAAGTACAAGGTCACCGTTTTTGCACAGACAAGGAAAAATTGCTACAAATGACTGTGACGCCGCCGCTAACAAAATTGCAAATTTTGCACATGGGAAACAAATATGTATGTACATGTATGTGTTTGTGTGTGTGCGGCCTTTCCACGGAATGCAATTGAAATCCGTGACAAGATAATTCAGCGCGGCGGGCAGAGGAGACCAGCAGACACCACCTACCCCAATATAGCAAAGACAAAAAAACAAAAAAAAAACAAGCTGAAAACAAAGTTTCCCAGCACTGCTTTTGCGCAGGTCCAAGACTGGAAATGAATTACAAGTGCTGCGAAGTAGGGCCACACGACTCCCTACAACAACAAGAAAAGCAAAGCACCGTGCAGTAATGGCGGCTACAGCTGTGGCTGTGCTGGTTTGAGAGATATGAAATAGAAATTAACGCAAAAGGAGCGCGAAAAAAGCGACAAATGTATACGGGAGCAGCTAGCACATAATTCGTGATCTACAAAAACAGCAACGCCCTCGCCTGGCTCACCGAGTGTGGGGCGCGTGGAATCTAACCTACACTTATGTTTTATGGAAAGCATAAATGCAAATACATATACTTACTTGCATACATTACCACATTCCAGAATATGTGCAGAGTTACAATAAATATATACGTATGTGCATATGTACAATTCCATATGTGCATGTATGTATGTATGTTTGTGCATACATATGCTAAGGACTTCCATTAAATTTTATATGCAAGCTCACATGACACACCTGCAAATTGTTTGCGCCATTGTTATGTTTTTTGAATGTATGTTTGTTATTGTTGTTGCTCTTGTATCATTTTCTTTGTTTATTTACAGCGAAAAGTCATTCGCGAATTTAATTTAAATGCACGCACTTCTGCTCAGACTTTCTTTACACTACTTCCAACACAACTTCTTGCGATCTGCGTTGCCAACCAATCTGTCGATCGCATAATAATCGACACCGCTCTCTGTAACACCTGCCCGCTACAAAAGCAATAAAGAAAATAGCCACAAAATAAAGAAATCATTAGAAAATCGTGTAGCACATTAGTCCAACTGTCGGTACCCACCCACAATTTGCACATAATGTTGAACACGCAAGTCAATTGATGCAATTTGTTCGACAAGCTGCCGGCAATTGGGTCGCCTCCGACTGGTGCTGGCTTACCCCATGTTTCTTATTCCTTGGGTCCCCAGTGACAATTGACATGAGAGTTGAAAATGCCGTAACAGGTTCACGGTCTGGCGCACGTGTGGTTTGGGTATCGATCTCGACGGGTGTTGATGCTGGTTGGGTGTGTGCTCATCAACAGTTTGCAGTTGCTTTGCTGCTGATTTAAGGGTTGGCCGACGCTGCCCTTAAATGAATTGCGGCGATTTATTGCGGTAATACTCATTTAGTTGCCTGAAAACAGTGGGTGTCGAATGTGTGTGCGTGTGTGTGTGTGTGGGTATGTGGCCGTGCTCAAGACGAGTGCAAACAATGCGCACAATAAAAATAAATCTCCAACTGGTTAGGGCAGGGGCTGGGGAGTGGCTTTAGCTTACAAGTGTGTTTAGTTATACCCGTGGGAAGTCGTCTGTGGCGACGACTGTTTTAATGGCTGTCAATGCGTCGCGTTGCCAATTACTTTGAGTTTGATGTGCCATTGATTGCTAACGCTTTTTGGTATTCATGTCACTTGCAGCCCTGGCAGCTCTCTAGTCTGCTTATTACAATAATCACTATAATTGGGCTTTACTTTGACAAAGACGGAAAAAACTACGTGATATGCATTTCGGCCAACGCCGGAGCTATGTTGGCTGGCAATTAATAAGCCAATTTCTTGGCACCACTCTTATCAGTGGACCACGTAAATCAGCATTATGTTGAAAACGAAAATGAAAATGAGCTCAAAATTCAATTACAGCTAGAGCGGGGGCAGGGCGCATTAAATCGCCTTCGTCTTTCAAGGCGCCACCATAAATCAACCACCACCGCAAATGAAGACCTCGCATAATTTTGCCAAGCCAGGTATGTGTCTATTACATTTTAAGAAGCTTTAGAAGCAAACTTAACTAGCAGCAGCTCATAACTCATTGCTTTGCTTGGCTGCACGACGTTTTGTCGCATATTTTAATTTGTTTTCTAATTTATGAGCAGCTTAGCCGTTGGCGTTGCCAACCTAACCGAATAGTGTTGCACCATTTTAATTGTTTGATAATGTTTACGTCCTGCGAACATAATAGCATAATTAATCGATATTAAATGAACACAGCAGCAGCAACAACAACAGAACAATAAACACCGGAAAACCTACAAAAGGTTAAATTAAACGAAGTAATTGTTACCGAAACAGACAACAGACGAAACACTCCCCCACAACTCGAGATCCAGAGTTTCTGACTGGAGGAGGGCTGGGCACACTGGCACAATGCACAGCAAACAGTTGCCCAGACACGCACAAGGCATAGCCCGATGGGTTTTTAGTGTGAGAGGGAGCGGGGGTAGCTCGTTGAGAGTTTTTGATTTTTAAACGGTGTGGAATGGCTGGGAGGGTGACACTGTAGAAGGGGCTGACTGGTAAAGCGCACAAAGTCACACTGCAGGCGGCGGCACTGAGCCAGGGGTTGGTGCGCAAAGTGATTTAAATGCATTCTTAATGGGATGAAATTATGTGCTCGGTCTGATTTGCGGTTTGACGTAGTAGCTCCAGACCAGCTCAAGGGCAGCCCCCACCTCTTCTATAAACGTATATAAATATGCATAAGCTTGCGCTTTTGATGTACGCCCTGTCTAGCTAAAACGAACCTGGCACATCCTTCGCATAGAATATTAATCTTAAGCTAACTTATGTTGCTCCTTAACTACAATTTCTTTAATTAAAAACCTTGCCTATAAAATTCTAATTAAAGTTAGGAATTCGACAAGTACAGCGCGAACCACGAAATCCGCTTAAAATCATAACAAAATAACAATTTGTAGCGGATCCCGCTTAAGGGTCACATTCAGAGTCCTTATCTATGCTAAGCAGCGGTCACACACTTCCTTTGACCCCGCTAGCGTAAGCCTCTGCCCGAGTGGGATAGAAAAGCTTTAGACAGGAAAGGCGCACGAATTTTATATTATTGTATTATATACTTGTGTCAGTTTTATTTTACTTTATTTGTATAATTGTTCTGCTACATTTTGAAGCGCAATATTTTGAGCTGAGCTGTTAGAGTATATATTCATACTTAATATATTATTTAAATATTTGTATTTAATATTTCTGCAATTAATATTTGAATAGAACCAATAAAACAATATATTGAAAAGTATATTTTAAGCGATAAATGTATTTTAGTGTATTTATAAAAACATTAACATTAATATTTTATAAAATATTGCTTTTAGGATATTACAAAATTATGTGCTTTAGAAAGATTATATTAAACAAGTAAGAGGTTCTAGTCGGGAGCTCCCGACTAGGGGATACCCTGAACCCTCTTCTTCCAACATCAAATGCATACATTTATTCTATTTTAGAAGCTATATGTCAAGTTTGGTGACTCAAGCTCTTATTATTTACCAAAATTGCCGAAAAAAACAGGATATCGATATCTATTTTTATTGATTGCTTGGAAACGGAGTAAGTTATCGATCATTGGAAACAAACTCGATCTGCACAGGCACTAGGAACACCTACATCTAAAATTTCAAGTGTCTAGCTCTTATAGGTTCTGAGATCCTTGCGTGCATACATACGGACAGACGGACATACATACAGACGGACATGACTAGATCGACTCGGCTATTGGTGCTGATCAAGAATATATATACTTTAGGGGGTCGGAGATGCTTCATTCTGCCTGTTACATACATTTGTATTTTGCACAAATACAATATACCTTTTACCCATTTTTAATTGGTTCAGGGTATAAAACCGACCAATACACTAAATACTAGAAGAGAAAATAATAAGTAAAGCAATTAAAATTTTACAATAGAAACGAATTTGAAAATATACAACAACACTAATTGAATGTTCTAATTCCCGTGTCCGACTCTAAATACAAATATTTACAAGCCTTATACCAGTTCTTTATATACAACGTTTAACAAAAATTGTTTATTTATAATTTGTCTACCTTTTGACTAAACTTGTCCTGATGATCAATTCAAAACTTAACTTACGTTACTTCATTTCCGAAACGAGAAGCGCCTAAAGTTTGTGCAGCGGGTTTGGCAGATTCTGTGGCAGCAGATGGCCATTCGGAGCAGGAATATTTAAATGTACTCTACAAACAGTTGGTCCGGTAAACTCATAACGATGTAGGCAAGTGGAGCGCGCGCGCAGCTCGTCAGCACTGCCCGGAAAGTTAATGGGTTCAATGGCCAAATGTGGCTCGGCCACATAAAGTTCATCGCCTGCATAAATATTACAAAAATTATAAGTTTATCTATGATTAAAAAACCGAGCACAGTTTACCTGGCAGAGCAAACACCATGCCATCGCTGCAGTTGTAACCCACCGGTAAAAACAAAGTAGTGCCCAATATGCTACGCTGCGTTGCAAAGTGCAGCAGTTTCCGGTAATCCGGGATAGCTAGCAGGCGTAAGAGCTCATAAATTTGTGGTGGCATAAGCCAGAGTTCCTCGTGCTGGTACATACGCAAAAATTCGACTGGAGTGCGCCACTGTAAAAAGATTTTACATTTTTATTTATAGATATGGGTGAGTTGCACTTAAGTTAGTTACCAAGCACTCCTTGACCTCAGTCGGCTCTGCGAGCAGGATAGGCTGGCTGTCCAAAAATACCATGAAGAAAACTGTTTCATGGCTAGAAAAACAAAAAAATAGTTTGAATTCAAATCAAAACCAAAAAGTTCGATTATGTAGTCTTTCGACCATTTTCCCGCCAGGAAAAGTTTAAAGACAATCGCATGGCAAAGGAAGAAATTTCAATTAACCTATTCCACCAATTTTCCACCTGGGAAGACAGTTTATAAACTAAAACTTCTTCAACCCCATCGGACTCACCCTTTTTTAACAATCGCTGGACTCGCCCAGGCGGACCACTCGTGAAGGGCCCACAAATCCGGCACCACTTGCAATTCACGGCACAGCTCTAAAAATTCACTGGGCTTATTATGTACACGTCGCTGCCAGGACTCACGATCGAAGTGCTGCTGCTCCGGCTGAAACTGCGCTGTCAGAGCCACAGCATCCAGTTGATTCAGCTGCGCTCGGCTGCGGCAAATCAGAATGCCCACCTCCTCGAAACACTCACGCAACGCCGTCAAGCGTAACGTAATTTCCCTAATAAGCCACAAAGATTAGATTTAATCGGTATATGTATTGCACCTTGTACTGACCGTGCCCAAATTTTGGAGCGTTTAAAAAAACGATCGTAGCAACCGTTGCCTTGGGGTGCCAATATTCCTGGCCTATGTTCACTGATGAGTATCAGGCTACGCAGCGACTCTTGGGACACGCCAAACTGCTCAAAATACTCCAGCCAGGCGACGCTCTCATCCCCCTCCACGTCCAGTAGGCCGCCAGGAAAAACAGTTTGATTCTGCGCTACGGCCGTGGCCTCGCTGCGCTTCAGCATTAATAGCTATGGAGAACAAAAACAAAATTATTTTGTGCACCTGTTGCTTCTAATGTTTGTCACTCACATTGTAATCCTCGCTAGCTGCTGCGGCTGGTGCCACCAAAATGAGGCTCGCCGAGGTGCGCCATCTAGTGTTCGCATTTGTTGCACTCTGCTGCTTTATTTTATTATCCATTTAATACTTATTTTGTTTGTTTTTATTGCCAAAAACCTGTTGCTAATAGGTAAAATCAATTGGATGCGCTTTGGACCGTCAATAATATCGATAACAACGATAGCAACGCGATTAACTCGAAATCGATTACTAAGTGATAAGCGCAACCACGATTATGGTGCGGGGGTACAGCTGCACCTTAAAACATTTATTGCTTGTTTTTTCACGTTGCGAGGGTTACCATTTGAATTCTGAGGCACAACTATTACATATTAGATTTTCTATATCAATCGTTGAAAATGATCAATTATTCACCATGAAGACTTTTTCGAGATAGTTTTCTAATCTTTCTGATCTTTCAATATTAAGCCTCCACGAAATTGAACCGGAAGCCTTTCACCATGATTAGCTGCGTTAATTCACTGCCAAAGTCAAAGAAAATCAATGGCTGTCTTAAAAATTCACAAGTTTATTATATTTGTTTCGTTTAGTATATAGTTACAAAACAATCAATTATTTAGCTAATATAGCCTCCGGCTAAGACATTACTACATCAAAACACAAGTCTGAGCTGCGAACCCGTCTGCTTGATATTCAGTTAACTGAAAGGCTGGGTCACTTAGACAAAGGTACCAAGGTGCATAATATAAGAGACAGCCCTCGTAACCATTAAGTATATGCACACAACATTTTCACAAGTACATATATATTTATATATTTAATCAGCTTTCGCCATTTAATGTATTTCTGGCTTTATTTAATGTGTTTTCGCAGACCATTTATGATCATGCCAGGGTATTATGATTTCTCTTTACTGATAGTTAAGCATAGAATTTGGTGCACTGTTTTGATTTTGATATACCAAGTTATTTTGGTTATCTTTTTTTAAAACATACATATAAATCTTATAATATAGTTTTCCCATACAATCTAAATGTTTTTACAGCTTGCCTAAGCCAGGGTGTGAGTGCGTGTGTGTGTGTGTGTGTGTGCGGTAGGTGTTGGTGTGGGTGTGTGCTCAAAATGTAACTAGATTGCCAATCCGATCGCCACCTGTCGCTTTTGTGCTAATCATCGTTACAAAACAAAAGTTTTCCACGCCAAAAGTTTTTTATGCCTTCCCATCTATTCGTCTTTCTTGGTGCCAGCGTCAATATTGTCATCATCATCGTTGCTATCGTTATCATAGTTGGTCGGCTGCTCACCATTACGCAGCAATTTGCCAACAAATTCGTATTTCTCCTTGAATTGCATTTCCCAATCGCGCACTGAGTCCATTTCCATGGTGCCCAGATCGCTCAGATCATCGTAATCATCCTTATCGTTGGCCACCACACTGAATGTGGCCAGATTGCGCGATGCATCGCGTCCGGCAAATGTGGCATATGGTCCGCCTGGGCCATAGAAACGTTTGCCCTTGGTGACGTCATAAACATTGCCATTGACAGCAACCAAGACACGGCCATCTGGCTGGTTGCCATCATAGGCTCGCAGCTCCTTAACAGTAAAGTCACGACGCAATTTGGGCAACTCCGGCTCAGCCGGTTGCTGTGCCAAATCCCGTGTGCCCGGTCCCTCGCAACGGTCACGCACTATTTTATATACCAAAAAGCAAATGATTGAGAGCAGAGCCAGATTCATGGGACTGTAAAAGATTTCACGAAATGCGGCCGCCAGAAATGACGAATCGGCTGTTGCATCAGCTTCGACTGTATTTTGTTGGGATTCCATCTTTGCAAGTTGCTTCTTGTGGCTCCGGTAACCGATTGCGATTGTTGAACTTTGCACACGATTTTTGTCTGCGCTTTCCTCGCTTTATTTGCGGTGCGTACGTTTGTATGCGATGTAAATTGCAAAGTGAACACAACAAATACAAGCGCACGATTCTTGCATTTATTTATACACAATATGTTGATTTCTCTTTCTAGAACAATGTATTTTCTTTTCACCCTGTACCAGTGCCTTTAAACAGCTGAAAAGCGTAGTGCTGACAGCTGACACGAGCCAGCGAACTGCAGGAGCAATCGGTTATCGGTACTAGAGACACGCTATCGGTTACTTGTTGCTCCTGAATGTAACGGACGTCGAAACATATTTATCAACACTACCGTTCAAAATTCGTGCACAACGGCAACCGACGACACAGCGAACTCCGATTACAGCAGCAGCCGAAATAACAATAAACATTTGTTGTGCTCAGAGTAAAAAATCACTTGACAGATAGCTGAAGATGCACACAAACACGTGCCACTGCAGCTGCCCAAGTGGTGAGTAAGTGGTACATAAGGGCTAGCAAGACTCAGCCCAAGGCACTTGCATTTTCTGTTTCCAAACTGAAACAATATGAAAATTCTGTTAACAATCATTTTGCTGGGCTGCATCTGTGCAAGCTCTGCTGAAAAGGAAGTCAAGAATATCGAACAGCTGGTGGCGGAGAATACCAAGGAACTAAGCGACACCAAGCTTATACTACATCACATTGATGCCACAAACGAACGAATTAAGGCCAGCATAGAGCAGCAGCGCGCCTGGCTGGAGTCCATTAAACATGTTGATGGTCTGCTGGCAAAACTGAATCTATTTCTTGATGCGCAAGGCGCTGTTGTCCAGGAGGCTTTTAACAACATAACGCTCAAGTCTGGACTACATGCGGAGCGTGTGTCTAAGGAGCTATGCGGCCTGGTACGCCTGCAGCTCTCCACACAACAACAGATTAGCGGCCTGGAACAAAAGCTGGATGCCCACCAGAAGCATGTGCTTCAGAATGCACGGAGCATTGACAATAACATACTGGAGCTCACCAAATTGATAACTCGCGCCGTTTTACCACAGCTAAATGGACTGCAGTGCTCCTTCGATAGTCTGGAGACATCGCAAATCAACATAGAGGTGGAGCTCAAGAGTTTGACACGTGTCAAGGACATTAGTGAGGATTCCAATCGCAAGCTGAAGGTACTGGGCGACCAACTGGTCAGCTTGAATCGCACCCAGGACGCACGTCTCGCAGTCCTCACGCACGCTCTGACACAGCTGAAGCCTCTGAATACCTGGCAAATTGAGCACGCACTACGCGAGCTCATAATTTCCCAAAAACGCATTGAATTGGATCTGGAGGCTTGCGAGAGACGAGCATCGCCGCATTTCGCCAATCTGCCTAGTTCCGCCTCCTATTCAGCCTATGAAATTAAATCCCACGCACCATCACCGCGACGTGCTCAGCCCAGCAAGCAGGTGGATCTTGAGCAGGTCTGGAATGCCGAGGAGCAGAACCATCAGAGTATGTTATGACAAATAATAAAACTCATATAAAACACAAGCTTACTATCCACATCTTTTTCAGATGCGCACGGTAGTCCCTACTACGCTATCGCCCACGGACAGGCACCTGAACCGAAACCCAAACCCGGCAAGCCATCAAATGCTATGCACAGCCATTTTGTTGCGGCAGCTGCCAAACCCGCTGGCCCAAGCTCCGTCTCCTGGCAACAGCCTCTACCGTGGGAAGCTGTTTCCTCCTACCAATCCGGTCCAGCGTCCAAGCCCAAGCCCAATCCACTAGCATGGCCAACTGAACCACACTATCTGTCCGCTTCAGCGCCCGCGCCTAAGCCCTATCAACCTGGTTCGGGTCGCAGGAGACCCACAGCAAACCAGAAGCCATGTGCCCAGGACCAAAGGCCGCACAATCCACCGCGGCACTCAGCTCACGCTAGCTATGGACCAGCAGCTGCACCAGCAGAGTCTTATTCCCAGCAAGGCAATAAACCTGGTCGAGCGACGCCCCAGCAAAGCCATGCTCCCTGGTACGGTGCCCACTCACCATCCGACGGCTACTAAGGCACATCAGCTTCATGTTTTGTGAATTTAGCAATTATTTAAACTAATAGATATAGCCCAAATATACATACATATGTACAGCAATGTTTTTAGTCAAAAGTTTTAGACCATATAATAAATTATATAAACTATAAACAACGGTTTTTAAAGATAATAAGTTCTATTTAGACAGTTTTTTTCGGCTTAACAAGTTAAACCCGGTAAAATTTTTTATAAATTCAAGCTTATAGCTGCTAGTATAAACTCTCTATTTTCTATCCTATTTAATCTCACTCTAGTATTTACAGCAAGCGAATCCCTAAAGGGATTTTGGATTTCGAATAGATTTACTGGCGTCCTATGATTTTCTACATCCCTTGCATAGGGTATTATAATTTTGTCGTGAAATGTGTAACCTATAGAAGGAGACATCTCCGACCCCATGAAGTATATATATTCTTGATCAGTATAAGCAGGCAAGTCGATATGGCCATGTCCGTCTGTCCGTCTGTCTGTTTCTATGCGAACTAGTCTCATTTTTAAAGCTATCGCTAAGAAACATTTTAGAAGCGCATCTTTCTGTTGCACGCTGTATATATGTCGGAACCAGATGGATCGGACTACTATATCATAAGCTGCCATAGGAACAATCGTTCAAAATGTTGTATGCAAACTATTTTTGTTCAAGATAACTTAACCATAGTCGGCATTAACTATATTCCCTGTGCTTCTTAGATACGGGCAAACCACTATAAACCTTATTGGGTCTGCAAGGGTATTAAATATTCGGCGTGCCAAAGATTTCCCTTCTTTCTCGTTAAAAAGTCGTATCCTTCCTGATTGAGTTACTTAAAATATTATTTTTGTAAATTTACTATTTAAAAAATTAATGTAAAATTAATATTAACATAATACAAAATATATAATCCATTAATATCTACAGAAAGTGCTCAATCGCAAATTAGAATAATTCAGTTCGGGGAATTTATATATTTATATATATATATATATATATATTTATATATATATATATATTTTTTTTTTTTTAATTTAATAATTCCTTTAACATCCTATTTCACGGATATTTATACAAAATAATATAAAACAAAAAGGATTTTATTTTTTTCGGAACAGTTGTGATTATTAAAAACTCGAATTTTCACTACAATATAATAGCCTGTAAGGTTAACCTACATTTTACTGAATGAATTTATTAAAATGTATATTTAAAATTGTGCCGCATTTTTGGAACAGTTGCATACAGCCGGAAAGGTAGAATTTGGCACGTTTACTTTTTGGACTTACACTTGAAAATGTTGGTCAATCGGGGGCTCCAAGTCTATTAATAGCTATCATAGAAGAATGTCAAGACGTGACCCAACAAATGTTTAAATTATTTTTTAGTCCAAAAGTCGTTGAACTATTTTTTTGGGATGATTACGAGGGCTAAGACCTAGAGCTTTTGGCAGCTGGAACTGATTTTAAGATTCGAGGTTATGGAAAATTGTGATTACCTGTGATACGAATTATGCTAGCTTATCCTAATAACTAACAATCCCCCATTTCTTAATGTTATCAAATAAAATATGGAGCGCTTAAGCTCAATGCTGCCGCTGATTAGGTCAAGTCGCACCTGGCACGCACCAGCTATTCACAGCTGTGAGTATTTAAGATGTAACCCACGCCAACTGAGGGCAGTTCCAAATTAACGGTCAAACATGAAATCTCAACTAGTTGTGCTTATTGTGTGCTTGGCTGCCTTATGCGTCGCCGAGGAGCAGCAAGCGGAGCAGGTGCGTCCCATAACAAATCAATAGCAAATTGCATTTCCATAGTCAAATCCTCTCCAGCAGCAAGCAGCAGCGGCTAAGCACGTGGAGCACGGCCATAACCCAAGCAACGACCCAATCCGTCGCATTTTAGAGGAGAATACCGAGGTGCTGCAAAAATTGGACATTAAAGCACATAGCATTAGCAACTCCCAGAAGGGCATTGAGAACAAGCTGAGGCTGCTGGGCCAGGATGTAGCCGGTATTGGTCGCTTGGAGGATGGACTCAAGAAACTGGAGCGTGTCTCGGAGAGCAACTTTCAGCAAACAGCCAATGGCATCAAGATCCTGTCGGCCAGCATCAAAGCCGCCGAGAATAGAACAGACAGAGCTATTGTGAGCTTGGCACGTGGCCAGCAGGATATCAAACAGGTGCTCGTCAAGGTGGATGCCAATCAAAATAGATATGAGCGTAACCTAGATCAGGTGGCCAAGTCGGTGCACCAGCACCTATCCGGTCTGGATAATTTGCTCAAACAGTCGGTGCTCAAGGAGCTGGTGGCGCTTGTGCAACTCTCCAAGAAACTGGACCATGCACAGCGCCACATTGAGGGCAAGGTCAACCATTTGGATGAGCTGACGGCGCTGAGCAGCATTACGGCCAATAAAGTACAACATCTGGAGCTGGGTTTGCGCTCCGTAAACAGCACACAACAGCGCCAATTGGCGGCCATTGGGCAGACAGTGCAGCAGGTGGGCGCCACCACCTGGCAGATTGACAATAAGTTGGGCGTGCTCCTAAGCACACAGAAGAACATTGAGCGTGCGCTGGTGGAGTGCAAGAAATGTCACCACGAGCCCGAGCACAAAGATCACATTAAGCTACCAGAGCACCCACAAGAGCACTGGGAACAGCCTGCCTACATAAACTACGAGTAGGTAACATAATCCTAAATGACTTTTATGATTAACAATACTCTTAACAATTTCTAGACACAAGGATCAACACAAAACACCCTCGAAGCCGGACTACGATAGCGGCTATGCCAATGCGGATGAGGCTTCCTACCTGTACCAGCTCTGGTATGGCAAGGATGATAAATAGATCATCACAGCTTCTTGCCCTTGCAGCGTAAGAGTTAATCCTCATAGAAGATGAGACATTCGTTGCCATCATGTTTATAATATGCGTTTTATAACTGCGTCAGTAGTCTATATACCCATTGGCATCTACAGTTATAATCAATGTAACTTAAAGCTGGCTATATTAACAATCTTTTGCAAATTGATTTCCTGTATATGCATATTTAATTACAACCATCCGCTAATTAGGTATACATATAACGAAAGGGTTTTAAAACGGATATTCATATATATAATAATCCTTAAAAGCATTTGAAATCTTTGATATTGATAAATATCTATAGATATTGTAAGGGCATAACATCTTCTTTTAACTTATCCTAAAGATATAGTTGACACTGCAAGCGGAAAGAGTCCTCGGCATTCCCATAGTTCTTGTTCTTTGTCGTTTATTTTAACATTTCTTTGTTTAGAAAAAATATACAAAATATAGTTCGTTTTTAACTAAAAATTGCACCTGATAAAGCCTCTGTTGTATTTATGGTGGAATGACACCTGCAACAATCAATTAACCATTTATAAATTGTTAATAAAGTTATTTGTTGAAAAGTAAATACCTGTGTTTTCATCAATGCATTTTTATGCTTCTCACGCTAAAGACTTCTTGGATCTATGGGGTTGACCTGACCATCGGCAGGCTTAAAATTGATATGGAGCTGCGATTCGTACTGATTCTTATGCTCTGAACGATGCAAATTATTTTTGGCCAAAGAGCGAAATTCCTCTGTGGAGAGGCCTGTCTCGATTTTGTCGTTGCTGGCATCGGGATCTTCGGGATACATGTCATCACCGGGCAACAAATGCACCAGTCCATCTGTGCATTTGTACATGACCGGGTGTGTGAGCACATAGCCCATGGATGCGCGCTTCTGTGCAAAATGACGCAGTTCCTCCAACGTTTGGAAGTTGAGACAACGCGATAGTTCATAGTATTGCGGTGGAGGCAGCCAAAGTTTTTTTTGTAGCGTAGCCTGCAGATAATCCAAGGGGTCTCGCCACTGTTTTGAAAATTAAAAAATTAGCAGGGATAACCAAAACGTTTTATCTCTGATCGTTTGCCTACCGCATAGTCCTTGACTTCGTTGGGCTCCGTCAGCACCTGTGGCTGAGTCTTGAGTGCGGCTAAAAAGAAGGCAGTTTCAAAGCGTTTTTTGAACGTGGAGGGCGTCCGCCAGGCGGACCATTCGTGCAACGCCCATAGATCTGGCAGCACGTCCAGCTCCTCGCAAAGCGTTAGGAACTTGCTGGCATCATTGTGCACCACATGCTGCCAGTGCTTACGGTCGAATTGCTCATTGAACTGCGCATAGCCATCGGTGCTGGTCAAGGTTTTGCGATCACGGCAGAGTAAAATGCCCATTTCCTCAAATGTCTCACGTAGCGCAGTCAGACGCAGCGAAACAGCCCTGAAAAGGGAATGGAAATGGAATGAAAATTGAAGAACTATGAAATTTTCTACTTTACGAATTGAGAGTCTCATCAAGGGTGTTCGGTGAAACAGCCACCGGGAAGAGCTGTTGCAATTTGGCAGCGTTAATGTCGTATCGCTGAAAGTGTTTTAGCCAAGCGGGTGAGCTGTCTACCGCTTCACAAACGCCGCCCGGAAACACGGAAGAATCCGGCATGAAGCTGGACTTGGAGTGGCGTGTGAAAAGCAGCGCCTGTAAAATAAATCTAGTAAGCAAGCTGCTTTAAATATAATGTAAGTATACAAACATTGTAATCATAGCAGGACGGCGCAGCACTGTTGTCCTTGGCCAGAAGTATTAGGCTGGCGGATTGACGTATTTTAGCCAACACTTGCTTCGACATGACTTAGGTAATAATAATAACGATACGATAACAATGCACGCACCTATCGATCTGGCTGATGGTGGAGGTGGGCTGGCGCCACAACTATCGCTTGCGCCGATATTGTCATTAGTTGGCCACCACTTGCATCACCTAGGCCATAAACTATAATATAAACTGTGAACATATCGATCTGCCTGTTTCAAAGTGAGTTTACGCCCATTCCAGTTACCGTTTTCAACTATAGTTTACTTTGCTAATCAATAAACGCAATAAGCGATTACAAACATATGAAAAGCACGCAGCTATCGATCTGGCTGCTGCCGTAACTATCGATTGTATCGTTAATGTTTTCGATATATTTTCCAGCTGTCGAACTCTCGCCTCGCGGTGCAAAGGTGAAAATAAAATATGATTTCGATATGAATTAAGTGGTTGAAAAGCCACGATCAGTTACCAACTCCCAGCATGGCGACCTCAGATAAAGTTCGGGTCAATGGGTATAGGCCATCAGCCAGCTTAATTCTAGCAGGCAAAGCGGTGTCCAACTCAAAAGCGCAATTTGATTACAATGTAAGAGTAAATAAATAAAATACAAAAAATATTTGTCACTTTTATTCTTTTGCTAATTAGCTTTTGCTAATTAAACGCACAGAGCGCACATCATATGCACTAAATCACTGCGTCTTTCCTGGCGGCGTTTTTGATGCCAACGCAGATGAATCCGCCGATTGGCTGACCTATTTTCAGCATTGTGGCATTACCCAGGCGCAGTTGGAGCTATTAAAATGCCGCCAAGCTACAGGCAGACCAGAACTCTTGAGCCGGGGCGTTAATTTCTCACGCGATATCTCACTGCGTCTAACAGCACTACGAGAAACCTTCGAGGAGGTGGGCATTCTATTGTGCTGTAAAAGTCTCAAGGACTTGGACAAGGGTCAGCCGGCACACGTGCTGTTGCAGCCACTCGAGCGTGAGCTCTGGCAGCAGCGCGTACACGATGATGCAACACAGTTTCTCGAGCTATGTCGTCATCTGTCTGTCATACCCGATCTGTGGGCACTGAGCGAGTGGTCGGTTTGGCGCACACCAGCTTCAGCGAGTCGCAAGTACGATACGGTATACTATTTTGCAGCCTTAGAGACCAGCCAAGTGGATTTGTTGCTCGAACCTACCGAGGTGGCTTCGGCTCACTGGCTGCACCCAGGCGACTGCTGGCAGCAATCTCAGGAGGGCACAATCTGGCTGCCTTTTATCCTGCTCTATGAGACGGCGCGTCTAATGAGCATGCATTGCTGGGAGCAGCTTCTACAGTTTGCGCATAATCGCAGCGCCCGAGGCTCGACGCTACTGCAGCCAATCTATTATCGGACTACTGACTGCCTGCTTGGCGTCTTGCCAGGCGATGAACTCTACTTGGCTAAGCCGGAGAACTGCACCGAGTCCATAATATTACCGAGCTCCATTAATGAACTTAATGCACTTGCCAAGCGTTACAATCGCTATATGATCTATGGCTTCGAGCGCGTGGATTTTGCCTGCAATGTATTGCCCCTGAATGGCCATTTGCCGCTGCACGCGCTTGTAAATACTCGGCTAGCCAAATTATAACATAAAATAATTTAAATATGTATATAAACTGAGTTGTGGCTAATTATAGCTCATTTGTTGTAAACTCCTATATGGATCTTTTGTTGCCGTCAAGTTAATACAAAAATTATGAAATTTTGTACACAGACGAAAATAATGTATAAAAGGGATATTTAAAAATGTATGTAAATATAATTAATCAATTTGGACTAAATTAAGCTACCATTAGTAAGCTCAGCTTGTATATTGCGGCAGGCGTGACACAAATCCTCCATTGAGTTTAAACGCTGCCTGGCGCGCTGTTCCAGGGCCTCCATATTATCCTGCTGTTGCAGTGCAACGCCCATTTCGGAGACGGCGCGCGAATATTCAATCGCTAGCAAAGTGTCGGAGAGCCCAGAATCCAGATCAGATTGGCACAGCGCACAAGTCGAGTTTCCCTCTTCAATTGGTTGACGCTTGGCGGCAATTTTATCGCCCGTGCGAAAAACCGTAGACACTGTGGATGCATAATTCAATTGCAGATTTGCCACAAACGCACTTGTCAGATTTTGGAGACTAGCATCGGACAACTGACTAGATTCATCTGACCGAAACGGTTTCAGCTGCTGGGCTTTAATATAGAACTGCACTTCCTGTTCGTTGAGGTCCTTCAAGGGACGCAGAAGCGTGACGGCGCCCTGCAGGCGATCGTCCAGCAAAGCCACATCCAAAGCAACGCTACCGCCGCGCCCCAATGCCACAGATGTTAACAGCTGTGCAGCCAGGCTGGAGCTTATGATAGGCTCAAAAACATGAGTGCACTGTAGCTGGAGGGCAACGGCGCTTATGAGACGTTTGCGCTGCTGCCGTACATAATCCTGCCGAGCTGTCAAGCTGCGCAATTTGTTATCAGTTGAGTCTAACCGAGAGGCACTGTAATCCTTGAGCAGCTGCAAGCTGTGGACCTCTGCACCCAGCTGTATCGCATAGAACTCAAATGGCGCATAACGTTTACGCAGTTCGTTTAGCATTGATAAAGGATCATTCGCGGACGGCGATGATCGATCATCTATGTGAAGCACACGTGCGCTGCAGTGCAGCCGCTTGAAAGTGTTTTGCGTTTGCGCAAAGTGTAACATGTCCAGCAGAACTAAAGACTCGGCGCTACCGTCTACCAAAAGTAGAACCTCAGCATTGCGTGGCAGCGCCTTTGCCGCCCCCAATGCCGCACGAAATTTGTGCCTGGCATAGCTGAGGAAACATTCATGGCATTCAGCGGCACGAAAGTTCAATTTGTACAGCTCCAACGAGTTGAGACCGCACTTGTTGCAGCTGCCTGCAGTAATAACAGTGCCCACTATTGAGGAACCAGGCAGCATAGCATGCGTTGCGCCTTCGTCACCAAAATCATCTTCGCCAATGCTACACATTAAATCTAAATTTCAGCAAATAACGAAATATAAACTAACCCTTACAACAAACTGTGTGTGTTAAGAATTAGTGATGATATGTGAACCGATAAGACATATCGTTATTAGGGCTGTGCACAGGGATGTTATGGATTTCGATAGCTTTATGTATCGTCTTAGATTGCGATATGCAGCCAACTTTTCTAGCAAGCAACCTTGCGCCCAGCAATAAAGTGCAGTGAAAAATATAAAAATAACTATTTAAAACCGTAATTTGTTATACAAAACTATTGCATAAGGTTAATTTAGTGCATAAGGTATGTGTACAAAGTGTTAATTTATAGAAAAGAGTTGATAAAATGTCCCAAATTTGAGCGCAAAATTTTGGCTGCTCCCTTCACATGTGTGCGTGCAAATGTAAATTTGTGTGCCCATGAGTTTGTGTGTGTGTGCTGTAGTACGCAAGCAAAAGTATCGGGTAGCAAAATCGAGAAACTTTCTTATTGGAACATACACAAACGAGTGGCTGCCATAGTGGTGAGGTGGACTGTATGTACGTTCAAGCCAGCTGTCAGTCACTACAAAGTTTACATCAATATTTTGAAGTCTACGAAAATCAAGTAAAAAAATATTCATAAATATAAATTGTGCCCAGCCTACTTAAAGGTATGCATGCTAATGCCCTTTTGGTGCTAATACAATAATAACAACAACTAAAACGCTGGCAAACAACGTGTGTGATAAGCGATTTAAAATACAAAGCACTTTCGTTGAGTTTAATTGACCGAAAATTTCAATTAACATGAACAGCAACTCTGCAAGTAGCCAGTGTTAATAACTGTTTTTGCTTGTGTTTTTCAGCATTCTAGCTAACATTGTACATATAGTGTATAGTGCAGTTAACTCGCAGCAACCGCACAGCCTTTGTGGCGGGCAGAGAGAGACAGCGAGTGAAAAAGTGAGCAGAGTGAGGCAGAGGTCATATTAAAAATAAGTATATTTTTGGGCCCCCTAAAACGATTACAAATAAAACGCAGAGCAGCACGCAGACCAACGCAAGCACAAGGCATACAACATTTGGGGCCATTCAATAAAATGATATTGGAAAACTCGGATAAGCTCAAGGATTGGCTGAGCGTTGTGCTCGAGCCACTGTAAGTAATTGACTCTTCACTAACGATTGACTTCGATAGCTACTCGGTATAAAATTAAATATATTAAAAATATACATTTTTTTTTTTTTTTTTGTTTTATTTTAATTGTCATTTTATAGCTGCGATGCTGATTCCTCGGCTTTGGCGCGCTACGTAATTGCGTTGCTGAAAAAAGACAAATCGGATAAGGATCTCAAGCGCATCATGATTGAGCAATTGGATGTGTTTCTCTCCGAGGAGACGACACGTTTTGTTGATCGTCTATTCGATGCCATTGCCAGCGAGGAATATCTAACGATGCCCGCTCCAATGCCAGCGGCAACGTCGGGCATTGCGGAACTGGAGCTGGAACATGATTTGGATGTTGTGGCCGATATTGAGGCTGTGTTGGCTGCCAATTCATCGCCGCCACCGCCACCTGCGCCAAAAGATATTGTGATAAAACCAGATAGCAATCAACAGCAAATAACTAGCGATAACAACAGCAAGGAGACCGCTACGGAAACGTCTAGCGCCGGCGGCAGTGCCTCAATCGCCACAGATGCCAACGCAACGGGAACACACAGCACCAAGACAGCCTTCGATGTAAGTAAAGCTCTCTTCACTCTAACAAACACTCTCCCTCAATAAATTGTTTAATGCTTACAGCACAAAACCAAAGACTCTCACAGCCAGCAGCATCAGCAGCAGCTAGTGCATCATCATCACAGCAGCAGCGGTGGTGGAGGTGGCGTCAGCGCTGCGGGTTTTGTGCGCAGCGCTAGCCCGCCACTGCGCAGCAGCGGTCCAGCTGGTAGTGGCGCCTATGCCGCCGACAAGGAAAATCAGCCGCGTGACAGTCGCCGGCGTCGTGCCTCATTGCGTTCCCGTTCGCGTTCCCGTTCACGATCCAATGATCGCTCGTTTAGGCGCTCGCGTTCGCGGGATCGTCGCATCAATGAGCGCGAAAAGAGCCAGAGACAGTTTCGCAATAAATCGCCACCGGGCGGTGCCAGTGAGCAGCGGCACAGACGCAACAACAACAATAACACTTTTGACAGGCGCCGCATTGGCAACAACAACAGCAACAATAACAACAACGTGGATGAGCGCAATCAGCGCTTTGGCGGCAACAAGGGTCGCCACTCGCCGCGCAGTCGCTCAATATCGCCAGAATCGCGCAATGCTCGTCGCAGCAACAACATAGAACCAGCTGCCAGCTCATCAGCCTCAGTGGCAGCGTCAGCGCCTGTGCCGGTGCCTGTAACGCATCCAGTGGCTGCAATGGTTCGTCAACGTTGCCGCGACTTCGATGAGAAAGGCTATTGTGTGCGTGGCGAGACATGTCCCTGGGATCATGGCATTAATCCAGTAGTCTTTGAGGGCATTAACAATTCAGCGCTAATGATGTCCATGCGCGAGTACAATCCAGATGCGCCTGAGATTTGGGCACGCGGTGGACCAGCCGGTGTGCCGGGCGTGCCTGCCGCAGGCCCAGTTAATCAACAGGCGTTGCCAGTACCGCCCCAGGCTGGCCCAAACAACATTAATCCGTTCAGTGGCAATGTGCGTGCATGTGCGCCCCTGGGTGTACCCAATCCCGCTGATTACGCACGACAGCCTGGCCAAGCGCCACAAGTGCCCGCACCACCGCCAATGATGCCATTTCCCTTTAATCCTACAGCCGTGACAACACCCCTACAGCGTCAACTCATACCTATACCCGTAATGGATGGCGGCGCTGGAGGTGCCGGAGGTGGTGGCATGGCCGCTGAGATGGGCAAACGGCGCTTTGAGCTGGAGGATAGCGTGGCCATAGCTGATGTGCCCAGCAAGATGCGCAAGGTGCCAATCAATAGTCGCCTTGGACCGCGTGTCAATCCGAATATGCAGCAGCACAATAGCTCCCTGGAGCTGCGCAAAGTGCCGCGTGGCCTAAATACAATAGCGCATCTGAACAATCATTTTGCTAAATTTGGTAAAATTGTCAATATCCAAGTGTCATATGAGGGTGATCCCGAGGCGGCCATTGTCACGTTCTCCACGCATGCGGAGGCGAATGTAGCCTACCGCAGCACCGAGGCGGTACTCAATAATCGCTTCATCAAAGTCTTCTGGCACAACGACAACAACAGCAATAGTAACAACAACAACAACAACAATGAGGCGGGCAACTCGAATGTGAATCGCAAGAGTCAATATCACTTGCATAATGTGCCCGCGGTGCCGACGCCGAATGCGGACAGCGCCAAGATTACCAACAACAGCAATAATACCAATCAGACCCAACCCCTTGGCGAATCGGGCAGCTCGAATAATGCTTTGGCAGTGCCCACAACGGAACAGGCGCTTGCCAGCACAGCAGCGCCCGCATCCATGCGTCTAAAGCTCAATACAAATGCCACACCCAATGCGGCAGCAAACGGTGGCGTGCGGGCGCTAACGCCGGCGGCAAATGCGGCGAGCATACGCAAAAAACAAGAAGAACAGCAGAAGGCAATGCATCAGCTGGCAAATGGGCTGCGTAAGCGCAAGCAAGAACTACTCCAGAGCTATGTGAAACAAATGAAAACGGCGCTTGAACTAGTCGAACGCATGGATC